GCGGCTCGTGGTCCTTTAGGTGTTGGCACTCAAAAAAAATCAAGGGAATGGGACTTCATTTGCAAGTGTCAACCGGTTAGATTCAAAATGGCCCGGTTGTCCACTTGAGGGGGAGTGGACAAATCCTATGTACGTAATCTATGGGACCCCCCTACCGTAAGGGGTACCGTAAGACATAGGTACCGCCAGAGAGTTTTGGCCTGAGAAGGTACCTAGCTACCGTACCATTACCGTTGGAACACTATTCCTGATTGCTGATTTTTGAATTAATTCAACTCTAATCACCTCCTAACGGCTAATTAACATCTTCCACTATAAATATAGGCCTAATACTTCATATTTCAACAAGAAACAAAGCTCCAAACATCCTCCCTTTATATTTTATGTGTGCTCATCCTTTTATTAATTATTTTCATTATTTTGGCTATTTCAAGAGCCTTAAATTCCTAATTTTTATACACACACTTTGGCTATTTTTATACTCTCATATTCATAAGCTTGAATTTTATTTTTGAGAGAGTATACTTTCCTTCTACACCGGCTAAGTTTTGTTCTTCATTTTTATATTCAAGCCGTTTTGTAGAACTCTTGTTTGTGTTTTTTAAACACATCTTTATACGGTCGAGAATAGCCGTTAAATTCTCATATTGTATCGGTCGAGGATATATAGCCGTATAAATCCTTGGGTAAAGGTTCAAGGATAGCCTTTGAAATCTTTGGGGGAACGGTAGAAGATAGCCGTTAAATCTTCGTTGTAAACGGTTCGAGATAGCCGTTGTGAAATCTCGAAGTGAATCCTATTGGCAAGGGTTATTTGCCAAAACTAGTGCGGTGCTTTGACGGAGTTCAAGAGGCCGGGACTTAGTGGATTCGGAAATCCTTGAGGAGGAGCCTCGAGTTACTCGAGTAGGGGTTTCCCGAACCAGTATAAATTCGGTGTGCATTTTACTTTACGCTTTTATTTCTGCGTTTTATATATTGCTTCCGCATTTGCCAACACCGTTTTTATCAAACTCCAAAAAGATTTTAAACGCCTTATTCACCCCCCCCCCCTCTAAGGCGTGGGCACAACGTCTAAATTGAGCAACAAAAAGAACTAGCAACTTGAAAGTAGTCTGCATTCATGAACTAAAAAGCATGAGCAATGTAAAACATATTTCTTTACATGTTAGAAAAAAATTAAGTTACTTTTGTACCTTAAAATAATATAATCTCTATATTCTATTGCATCTCATTTTTTATAATTGAAGAATGATCTGAATTTAATAACATAAAAATGACTCGTGCAACGCACGGGTGTGATACTAGTAATCATACATTAACTTTGGTATCATTTAAATTACACTCCGTACAATATACATGATGGATATAACCCATTGATACCACCCGGTAAGTTCACAAGCTCCCGGGAGGTACCAAAGTCAGATCTCACCTGAGACCCTGGTAATCTGACCGAGTGGATGTTGGGGGTCAGACCGGTAATATGATGACTTGAAGACTGCTTGGGTGGATGGCTTGAAGGTTCCACCCGGTAGGTTCGTTGGTGGTCCCAAAGTGGTGAAATACAAAGTCTAGAGGGGGGGTGAATAGACTTTGTTACAGATTTAAAATCTTTTTCGTTTCTTTTGAAAACGTGAAAATGAGTGTTAATCTAGAGTCCTTGTGAACTTTAGATTGTGTGCGGAATTTTGGTGGGTAGAGTGAGCATTAATGAATATGGATAGGTTAGTTTTCACAGTTAATATAATTGCAAGTAAGAATAAGGATAAGAGAGAGAGAGACACGCAAACTTTAACGAGGTTCGAAGGTGGGGTAATCCTTCTACGTCCTCAAAATCCACTATGTAGTTGGTTGTTGAATAATGGACCAACAATTACACTTGTGTGAATTTCTGCACGGTATATCTTCACAAGACCAATGTTGCTACTGCACTCGTGCTGGCTTTGTTGTTCCTTCGAAGGTCAAGCTTCTTCAACAACTGCAAGATCCGAACAATAGGACTTGCAAGATCAACTTGTAAGAGAGTTGACCTATCCCCTTTTTAATCAATAAGTTTGATCAAAAGTAATATCCTTCAACGTGGTGTGGTGCTTGAGGCAAGGAAACCTTCAAGTGTTTA